ATATGTATCTTTTTAATATATATATATTTATATAAAAATAAGTTCTCAAGGCTTTTGGGCAGAATTCAACTAACATTGAATAACATTGGAATAAAACTTCCATTTGGGATAGATTAATGTAAAATCCGTAAGCAGTAATTCTTATAATACCATATGGTATTATTATATAATGGTCATCCCTGGAAGGAGGAGCATACTAATCAGATCAAGTGTAATTCTAAATTTAACCCTTGGGGCATTATTCTTAGTCTGGTCTTTCACTGACAGTTTGAAGGTAAACTTCACTCTATTTTTCTTCATACATCTCACCCATCCCCTGCTAAACCTGTAAATCTCTCGCATCACTCCTAATTAAATACAATCACAATTGGTTCTGCCCTCTTAGGGAATAACAAAAACCACCTATGGGACCAATGGCATGGCACATCATTTGTGCCTGTGTATCTAAATGCATGTTTGATTCAACTGCTTGCAGAGGATTTGCATGTAGAAGTCCCCTTGGGCTCTGATCACAACTCATTATACATTCAGAAAACTAAAAGATAGCCCAAAAGCATGTCTTTAATTATGTGTTGCCTTGCTATCTTAAGTTTATGTCAGACCTTGATGTTTCTGTGTTGATCTTTCTAAGTGAGCTTCCTGGTTCTCTTTAATGAATTAGCCATGGAAAATCATTGAGATAATTATAGTAATACATGGAAACACATCATTAGCACATGCAATTATCCCATTTACCAACTTAATTATGCTGTGTTATATTCTGTAATTTTTTTTTACTGACAGCACAGGTTGAAACATGCCTTTTTAAAATAGCAATGTATATTTTAAAGATCAACACATATTTTAGCTTGTAGGAATGCCAGATTGTTTAATCATGGCTAATTTTTTTTTTCAATAATGATAAATTTTCTTTTGAAACCACATTTTGCAATTCAGTGTACTCTTTTAATCTCAACACTTAAATACAAGCATTACAGTCTGCTTGTTTCCATAAAAGAGTCAAAATATCTTCATATAGGCATAAAAACAACTGCTTTAAGGGACTGCATTTCAAATTATTATATTTATTTCAATACGTAACAATTTATTTAATTTAAATGAAGTAAGTGAGAAAACTTCTATTGACGTTAATGGACAGAGTTTAGGTCCATTTTACAAGACCAAATAGAATTTCTGGTTATTTGTAAAAATTGTTGTATGATCAATAAGATAATGAACGTCAGGTAATAGAGCACATCAATACCAAAACAATTCTTGTTCTGGATTGTTTACAAATCAAAAGAGATTTAAGATGCAATTCAAGAATTTTCACATCCAGTCCTCACCCCATTTACAAGAATGATCCTGATAAGGAACAGAGCATACAAAAATTGTGACATTCAACTACTTAAGTTATTAGTTCTATTATATCTGAACACTGTCTGAATATAGAGCAATCTAGGATTTTTCCACACTTCAGTTAATGCTTCCCTCACACACACCATTGAATTTTTCTTCAGAAATAAAACCACTTCCATATCTTACCTAAAATATCCAATCCAAGGGTTTTTGCTAGATCTCTTACACCATCAGCTCCAAAAATGTGTGTCTCATGCTTACATTTGGGACACTGGAAAACACTCATGTTTTGAACCAGTCCTAAAACCTGTTAAAGAAAGGAGTATTCAAACCTGGGATTCAAGCATCGGTATTTCCATTATTCATCTCTGACAATAAAGAAGAGATTATCAAAAAAGAATCGACAAAGACTACTCATTATAATGGGAAGTAGCAGTAATATCAGACTCATTAACATCATTATCAACTCTTATTAGTTGTCTCAGTTACACTATCATTTGTGCATTATTTCAAGTTTTTCACATCTATACCTCTCAAAGATTAACAAACTTATTTGTCACAAAAAGTACCTCTTGTACAGGCCTATCTTTCCAAGAACTCTCTCTGCCAGTATTTCATTTTTGAACTCTGAAAACTGGAAGAATTTTCATGTTGTGTTTTATAGCTCTGTAATTTGCAGTTTCAGGAAACACAAAATAAAAACATACCATTACAAGAAATGACACAATCAGACATGCTTTTAAGATATTTT